TTGTCGAATCACTGTTGTGTTTTTTCCTCAGCAGCTAATAGGGGTTTTTACATTCGTATATCTCGGCTGTTTAGGGAGGTTTTCTGTTTCTGATTGAGTTTATTTCTGACTGTGAGTCCAAAAGGATTACTGCTTTGGTGAATCATGTATCCAGACAACATTTTTGACTTAGTGCTATCTTAATGGCCCCTATTTCTTCTTTAAAAGTGGGGTGTGCGATAGACTTACCCCCACGTGGTGCACCCTGGGCAACGTATACTCATACGGCAAAAAAGTCTATTAATCGGCAGTTGACTTCTGGCTTCTAACTACCACGACTCCCTCCCCTGGTTGTCATATTCGACACCTTCCACAGTATTCCCCTTACCTTTTTCTCTACCTTTGTGTCCGTCTATCTCTTTTACAACTGTGAATCGCTCTTCTGTTCTCCCCCCTGTGAAGCCCGAAGCCAGCTAAATGGCTAATGATATCTTTTGAAACGCCTGCCATTTGAAATCAATAAATCTTCTTTAAAAGCGGGTCTTTTGTGACCCGCTGCTGCGTAGAAAGAGAAGAGTTTAAAGTAAACACCTGTACAAACGTTTGCTTGGTTTTGCATAGTGAAGACTTGGAGCCATTGATCTGCAGGATAGTTAACATCGAAGACTTGGAGCCATTGATCTGCAGGATAGTTGACAGCAGTTTGATAAAAGGTTATGGAATTTTCTTAATACACCATTGAGTTGAGTGATATTGAAATATTTTGCAAAATCTAGTAGAAAGTAACTCCACTGGGCTGTGACAGAGATGACTGAGGAATCGTTTGATTCACAAAGAAGTTACTAACGATTCCAGGCTCCAAGATAGTCGAACATATTATGGCGAAGAGGTAAACGAATTAGGGTAGTGGGCGGCAAGTAAGATGAGAGACCAAAAGGAAGATTAATGAAAATTTGAGTGTATAACAAGACAGTTTTAATGTTGCAAAATAATATGCACAAAATGAATTGAGAATTTTTGTGAAGTAGATTAGAATCAAAGGGGAGCACTTGATTAATGATAGATTGTGCATAAAATACATAATCGATAGGTATCCATCAATTATAAATACAGACTTTGCATAACCGTTTAGTAGTTTTAAGCCCCAAATGTATAAATGGTAAATTTCGCTGCCTTTCATAATCCCATTGCATTAGCGTTCAACGTGGATAATTGTTAATATGTTCCTATTTCAACCACAATTGTACAGATGCTAATATTCATGTCTTTTAGTTGCTCATAACAAAATCGACTACTTCAATCATTTCAGTAAACATATTAATAACTGTGACTTCTAGGCATATTGTAGAAATGCAGAAATTTAAATGTATTCCCAAATGGGAAAACTTCAATTTATATTAGAGATTTAGCAATTTAAGTAAGCATGAGAGTTCATTTCAATGGAATAAATAGTTAAACTGAATGAATATCTATTCATTAATAGGCAATGTTCTGTTCTGTTAATCGCAATGATTGTTATATAATATATATTTGTTAATGATTATATTAAATTTCAGTATATCATGACTGAATGCCTGCTATCAATTGAGAATGCAAGTAGATACTCCTAGGAGAGCTAGATTGAACAAAATATGAGTTTAAGTCAGTAGAGGAAACAGAGCAGCTGATTAAACAAAATGAATAACTCACTTTTGTATGTTGGTAAGAAAAAGCAACCTATTTAACAAAAATAGTGGAGACTAAAAGCCGCTTGTTTTGATTCGAATAAATAATTTCAACTGTGAAATTAGAATTTTATAAGCTTTCAAGCAGAAATGCATATAATTAGTTAAAAGGAAAGACAATTGCAACTGCAATGCATTTGTTCAGATTCCACTGTGCATATTCATTTTTCAATAAATTCGATCTGTTTAAAGACTACTTTTTCTTGACTAATTTTAGATAGAAGTATCAGCATAAAAAATAGATTTTTTAATTGGGACTTGGAATAAATGTACTGTTGGAAAAAAATGATTTGTTTGCATGGAAATAATATTCAAATTTATATAAATTGGGAGTATACACACAACCCACATACCCTCTATGTAACCTACGTGAGGAAATGGAGAAGACCCACCTGATTCGATTTCCAGCTCTAAAGACAACGACGGAAAGCCAGAGATACTGATAAGCAAGAAGACGGCTAATGGTTTGCTATTAATTAACTGCTATAAATGTACCCACCCCCCTCTTGGGGGAAACTGAAGTCAAAGATTAAGGGCTAATGATAAATATCCCAAAGCCTGCTCTTTGAAATAATAATAATAATGATAACTCTTCGCTGAGGTGTTCTGATTAGGAATCTGCTTTAAGTAAAAATTGTAAGAAATAATGACACCAAAACCACATGAAAGCCAACATCTGCTTCAAAAGTGATGTTGTGACTATAAGTTGATTGAGATGTCTTCGTGTTTTATGGTTGCCCATGGTGAAGAATAGCAACTTGCCCATTTACCTTATTTCGTTATTCCCAGAAATAAACGAATTAATGAATCATTGATCTTACAATGATTGAATAATTTTAATGCTTGCGAAACCCTTTAAAGTCGATCGCGATGTTAATTAGTAAGAGTTTGCATTTTGAATCACTGAGATAGTCACTCAGCAGAGGTAGCTAGTGTGGGGTGCGCAATAGACTTAACTCTGCTTGGTGCACCCTGGGCAACGTATACTCATACGGCAAAAAAGTCCATTAATCGACAGTTGACTTTTGACTTCAAACTACCATGATCCCACAGTATGTCAAATTCGTCAACTACAACAGTAATCATCACACCTATTCTTTGCATTTGTGTTCATCTGTCTCTTTACATCTGTGAATCACTCTACTTTCCACCTCTTGACTTTTTTTACTTTAATGTTCTTTGGCTATGTTAGCTAAAGGGGTAATGGTAACTATCAAAACGCTTGTCATTTGAAATAAATAAATAAATAAATGTTTCTTTATTAAATTCGCTTATGAAGATTGAAGTGTCTAGTTCATTTCCTTCTTTGTCATATTCATTGAAGGATTGCAACAAAAACTAGATTAACTGATACATTATGATATTGATGCCTTTAGACTTGAAACACTTCAAAATAATTTCTTATTTTTTTAAAGTAAAAAATGTTCATTTATGTTTTGATCAATTATTGATTAAGAGTTATTGTTTTCAAATTTAGTTTAAGAAAATCAACAATTTTGTTTTCTTATTAACTTGGGTAAAAATCATGATGAATCTTGAAGTTGTAGAAGGCGTATAACGACACATGGCTTACAGTAAAGGAAAAATAAATTGAATGATTGATATGCTTCCATCACGCCTTAATACAAAAAAACTAAATTGGATTTGCGATAAAAGGATCATAAATCTTCACCGATGAATGGCAGGTAATTTATAATTATATGCTCTTAACGTGTTTATGATTTGAAACAACTATTCATAAAAAATTCTTTCTAAAATGCTATTCAGAATCCTATAACTCAGCTACAACTGTGCTTTTACTTTATTTCTCTTGTCTTCTGGAAGAGAAGGTGAATTAATTTCCGTGTGGATTGATATACAACCTCTAAATGTTTCATAGATTTAAAATAGAGTAAAGTGGGTATTAGGTATATTGTAGGAAACCTCACAAAGATATAGAGATGACTGCATGAACCGGATCCACTTATGTAAACAATTCATTTTTATCCTTTTCAGGTTAATTTTACGACGTATAGAATCAGATTTGTCAACTTGGACCGAATTGCATCCAGAGCAGATTTGTGAGTAAACAAAATCTCCCAAAAATGAATAAGTTAATTTAATTTTGATTAATTACAGGATTCATCAAATACACTATTTTAACAAAACATTTTCAAATACTTATTTAACTCATTAATTTTTTTCAATGAAATTGGTTAGAATTAAAAAATTTAAGAGCGGTTTGACTTAAATTTTGAGGGTTTTATGGGGGCTTTGAATGAATCTTTCGCATAACTTCTATTTTGCTTAACTTTACTCCCCTACTTTTGAAATTTAAATAAATGCCACATCGTGTATTTAGATATTTTTATAACGTCGTTATTATAACCCTGCATTACCATTTAAACAAACGCACAGATGCAATTAAATTGTATAATCCGAAGTATAAAAGAGTGGCATATATAGAAGCACACATAAAACGAATGTTCCTCAACCATTTTATTTTGTTGTTGGTGCTAACAAATGCGCCATTTCTAATTCAGGGTAGAGATTTACCAGATTCTATATGCTCAAGAATTGTTTCAACACCAAGTGGAAAGTGATATTTTCTGTGCCAAAACTGACAGTAAATAGTAATTTTATTTCTTAATCCTTTTATTTATTTTAACGTGCAGGGTATCTTTGTGTATAAGAACCCTAATAGGCTGCCCGTCGAAATAGAATTTGACTCTTGTTATGTTCGCCACAGACGGATTGGAAATCCCTGCAACAGAGTTCAAAGTAATGGATTTATATTTGTCGAATTTTGCATAGATGACGTTAATATTACTATTGACTCCGTCACACAATACGATCGATTAATTGTCGATGGGTTTAAATATTCGTGCATTGCTATATTTGTCCCGAAGTGTGCATTTCCCCCTGTTAAGCCAGGTCAGTCCAAATTAAATACTAGTGATGATTTCATTGAGACTCTAACGCTTGTATTCAAATTATCAAAAGTGCCACTGTTAGTGTTGCTTGTGTGTCATTTTAGGAAATGTGATACGACAAACATCGTTTCCGTTTGGGAAATATGCAAATGGAAGGAGTTCTATCGAACTTCAATTTGCCTTCAAAGGAATGAAACACAAGGTAAGTTTTTGTTCCTTCTTTTTTGAATGATTTTACTCTTAATCTATCATAGTAGGATTTTCATTATATTTATAAAAAAATGATTATAATTGAATGACGCAATGTTTAATCTTCTTTTTTACACTGTTTATACCAAAATGTTTTTTTCTTTTAGATCTACTTGTTCTTGGGATATAGAACTTTATGCAGTTGGACTGGAACGATTGCTTTTTGGACAATGATCCTACTTATTGTCGTGAGTAATAATAAAAACAATAATTGACCAGACTACGCAAACTGAAGCCAATAAGTTTAATTTAAAGGAAACCTCAGTGAAAACAAGACTGATGATCGGTTAGAATACAAGATCCAGTACAAACGAAATAATTCAGATGAAGTCAACAATTTTGTTTTTGGAACGAAAGATTCAGAAGTTGCAATTACTGTCTACTGGTTAAAGAAGGGTATGCTGTATCACGAATGTCCCGGTTTACTGAATTACTTGATTTGCTAAATAAATATTTGCTCTCTTTAGGTGAGTCGCCTGATGTAGCCGAATGCAACAGTAGGTTGAATTTGCATAAAACAAATAAATTTAAATTTGAAATTATAAGCCACATTTTTCGTAAAAATTCTTATCAAATATTTCATGAATTAGAAAATTTGAAATCCTCTGCTTTCTTCGTAAAAATTGAAATTCTTAAAAAAAATTTTATTTCGTCATTTGAATGAATGCCAGATTAGCTACTGCAAATTAAGAATTTAATTTAGAAAACTGTGTAATCAAAACCTTTGTGTTGCCATTTGAAAAACTATTTAACAAGAATATATAAGCATAATGACATTTTTGTGTAAATTTAATATGTGGTTTTGCGGAAAATTGAAAAATAACTTGTAACCTTGGGAGGATCAGTCATACATCAATTGAAAATCTCCAAAGAGGCCTCAGTATAAGTTTCTTTACAGCATAGTGTAGCGTTTTGATGCACTATTAAAGCCTATGGTTAAAGACTTGTAGCGGATTGCTACCTTAGTAAAGCCAGACCGGTTGAGAATTGTAACGGATTGCTACCTTAGTAAAGCCTGACCGGATTGCATTGTAGCGGATTGCTACGCTAGTAAAGCCTGACCGAAGAAATCTCTGTGGTAGATTCTCCTACATCTAGCTAGACTCTCAGAACTAGCTAAGCTATAGCCCAGCTATAGAGGAAACAGACGTATAGCACAGAACATGTTTATGCAGTCAGTATATTGTGGATGAAGTGTGCACGCAGGGAGCTTAATCATGAGCAGCATGGCGGATAAGGTTAAATAAAGAGAGGCTACTGATTGGCCAATGATTGTACAATTGCTGCACACAGAGTTGTACGGCCGCACCTCCCAATCCTAGCGAGCAGGCATGCGATGACGCACTCCGCAATTATTAACTTTATTCTCTGATTAAACGATGGTTCATAATAATATGTTTCTTAACAAAGCATAAGACTAATGAGAGGGTAAAATTGAGCCTAATAGACATTTATATAATTTTGAATATGAAACTGAGGAAACGTGAAGTAGACAAAATTAAACCAACTGTAGACAGCTATTTTAAATGAGATTGAAGTATTGAAATTGTCTTGGCATTTTACTGTTCATCTCACAAATTGACAATTTAATAAGTACCCTTTTGTGATTTTTTCAGAGTATTTGAAACCATTGTCAACAAGCAGTGGTAAGTGCATATTTTATTTATTCCAACAAATCATTTTTTAATATAGTATTTGTTTGGAATGATGCTCAATCCAAATTATTTATTTACTCATATCAAATAGAAGGCGACTTGTTAGTTACCATTAGCCCTTTATTTGACTTCAAACTTCAAAAAGAGGAAGAATAATCAAAGTCACAAGAAGTGAAGAAAGGAGTATGGGGGGAGGAACAGAAGAGTGTTTCACAGATGTAAAAGAGACAGTTGCAAGGGTAGAAATAGATGAAGAGTGTACCTTGGAAGTAGTCGAATATGATATACAGTGGGGTCATTGTAGTTTGAGGTCAGAAGTGAACTGCCGATTAATTTATTTTTTGCCGCATGTTATGAGATGCCCAGAGTGCACCACGTGAGGTAAGTCTATCGTACTTGCGTTTTCAAAAGAATCTAGTTTTGATTCATCTTTTGAATTGTACTGTTTATTTTACAATTTGACCGTTCAAACACTTTCATTTTGCGAATTTATCAGAGTCAACCAGCTCAATGACAACAAGCAGTGGTAAGTAAAAATTTTATTTATGCCAACGAATTATTTTCAACATTGTATTCGCTTGAAATGATGACTTATTTCTAAGAGAATCTAGTTTTGAAAAAGTCTTCGGAATTGTTACTGGTCATTTTACAAATTGACTTTTCAATCACTATCATTTCATTGTTTTTCAGAGCATTACAGCCTAATGACATCAAGCCGTGGTTAGTGCATATTTTAGTTACGTAAACAAATCATTTTTTTCAATTTCGCACTTATTTGGAATGATGCTCAATTTCCAAATTATTTATATACTCATATGAAATAGAAAGCGATATGATAGTAATAATTGACCCTTTAGTGTTTCACAGATGTAAAAGAGACAGTAACAAGGGTAAAAATAGATGAAGCGAGCACTGTGGCAGTAGTCGAATGTGATATTCAGTGGGGTCATTGGCGTTTGAGGCCAGAAGGGAACTGATGATAATGTATTTTTGCCACATGGGTATACGATGCCCAGGGTCCATCACGTGGAGGTAAGTCAATCGTACACGCGTTTCCAAAAGATTGTAGTATTAAAATTGTCTTTGGAATTTTTACTGATCATTTCACAAATCGACCGTTTAACCGCTTTCATATTGTTGTATTTTTCAGAGTCAACCAGCCCAATGATAACAAGCAGTGGTAAGTACATATTTTAGGTATGCCAGGGAATCATTTTTTTAATATCGCTTTTATTTGAAATGATGCTCTATTTTCAAAAAAAATTGTAATGTCAACATTGCCTTTGGAATATTTACTGCTCATTTTACAAATTGACCGTTTAACCACTATTATTTTGCTACTTTTATCAGAGTCAACCAGCCCAATGACAACAATCAGTGGTTAGTGCATATTTTAGTTATGCCAGCGAATCATTTTTTTAATATCGCCTGTATTTGGAATGATGACCCATTTCCAAGAGAATCTTGTTTAGAAATTGTCATTGCAATTTTTACTGATCATTTTACTAATTGAGCGTTCAACCACTATTCTGTTGTGACTTTTTCAGAGCAATGCAGCACAGTGATAACAAGCAGTGGTAAGTGTAAATTTTAGTTATTTCAATGAATCATGCGTTTTAACATTGTATTTGTTTGGAACGTTGCTCTATTTCCAAAAGCATAAATCTAAATTTAGTCAAAAAAGTAGTCTTTAATTAGATCGAATTTGTTTAAAAATGAATATTCACAGTGGACTCTGAACAAATGTATCGCAGTTGCAATGGCCTTTCCTTTTTACTACCTATATGCCTTAATGCTTGGAAGCTTACAGAATTTTCGTTTAATAGTTGAAATTATTCATTTGAATCAACACATGCTGCTTTTAATCTTCACTATTTTCGTTAAATAGGTCGTTCAACCGTACCCACATTCACAAGTAAGTTATTCATTTGTTTAATCAACTGCTCTGTTTCCTCTGTTAACTTGAACTCATATTTGTTCAATCTAGCTCTAGTTGGAGTATCTACTTGGATTCTTAAATAATTGCAGGCATTCAGTCATGATATGCTGAAATTTGGTATATTCGTTGTCAAATATATAACAAATAACAATCATTGCGATCAACAAAACAGAACAATGCCTATTACTGAATTAAAATTCATTATTTTTCACTATTTATTCAATTGAAGAGATTCTGATTGCTTTGTTTTAATTGCTGAAATTAATTAAAATCTGCATCTTTAATACAAATTAAAGTTTTGCCTTCGGTGAAAACCAATCCATTTTTTCGTTTGTACAATATGCGTAGAAATTACTATTATTAATACATTTCACTGTTATGATTGAGTAGTAAATAGAGATACATGTTGGCATCCGTAAAATAGTGGTTGATATAGGGGCTTGATAAAAATTCTCCTCTTTGAAAGATGATGCAATGGGTTTATAAATCCTGTGCATAATTGATAGAAACTTATCATTTACGCATTTTATGCACAACATATCATCAACCAAGTACTCCCATTCGATTTCCATACAAATGTTCAAATAATTCATTATTTATCTATGCGAAGTCGGTTAACAATTATCAAAAAAACTGCAAAACATTAACCATTGGAGGAATTGGATTTCAAGGCTGAATAATGAATTCTTTTGCTTCACAGTAAACCAGAACCAACAATTATTATAAATAGTAATTTAACATATATCATAAAAATTTAAAAATGAAATATTATTAGAATAAAAAGAAAACAACGACGCACGCATAAACATTTGGTTCATATTTCAAATAACTCAATAAAATAGCAATTACAGTTACCTAGTTTTACAAAATGTCTTTCTATTGCTAGATATAGACCTTGAATTACATTGGCTTAAATTGGACGTGATTACTTGAAATTGAAGCACATCGATTATTCCCATTCTATTCTATCTACTTTCAGTTAAACAAAAAATAGGCTTATTATTTTACATGAATGTGATCAAACTTGTTCTATTTGGCGAAAAGATGTTCCATGCTATTCAATGAGATAGGTTTTCAATAAATCCCTCAATAAACAGTTTAACAGCTGCAATTTATAGAGTCTTGGGCCTCAGTAACTGTAATATTGAAATAACCTTAAGGACGAATTGAAGCCAGTTATGAATAATATTTACAAATTGGTTTAAGCATTTTAAATGTTTTAATTTTTAGTGTCTTGGGCCAAGCGTAAAGGCATAAGAACATCTTTTGAATTGACAAGGAAATGCGCAAGTAAGTACTTGTTGCTAGTGATTCGATTCACCAAAATCCTCCAGTGAATAAGAATAGCAAATCTATTAGAATGACAAACTTTTATATTTGACGAATAGTTGTTTTATGTTATTGCATGAGATTTTTTTTCAAACAAAACCTCCATTAAACAATTTAAATGCTACAATTATTAATAGAATGAAAAAAAACAAATAAAGATGTTCAAGGTAATAAGAAACGGCTATGCCCCATTTAAGAATAATTATTATTTTAAATGGCAGGCTTTAGGATATTTATCATTGGCCCTTAAACTTTGACTTCAGCTTCCCCCAAGGGGATGGGTAAATTAAAGCAGTTAATTAATAGTAGTTCATTGGTTGACTTTTGGCTTCCCAGTATCTCTGGCTTTCCATCATTGCCTTTAGGGCTGGACACCGAATCAAATGGTTCTTCTCCATTTTTTCATGTGGTTAACAATTATCAAAAAACTGTAATACATTGACCTGTATAGAGGATTTGGATTCCAACGCTGAATCATGAATTTATTTACTTCACAGTAAACCAGATGCTCACTCTAATTTAACCAGGGCAAGCAACGATTATATTTAGTAATTAATAATATATCATTAAGATTGAAAGAGAAAATGTTGATAGAATAAAATTAAAACACTGACGCACACATGCACATTTAGTTCATATTTCAAATAACTCCATAAAATAGCAATTACAGTTACCTAGTTTAACAAAATGTCTTGCTTTAGCGCGAAATAGACCCTGAATTACATTGGCATTAATTGGGGGTGATTATTTGTAATTGAAACACCTCGATTATTAATATTCAATTCTGTCTACTTTCAGTTATCCTAAAAATGGCTTATTATTTTACATGAATGTGCTCAAACTTTTCTATTTTGGATAGATTTGTTCTATGCTATTCAATGAGTTAAGTTTTCAAAAAAAACCTTTCACTTAGCAATTTAAATGTTTTATTTTTTAGATTCTTGGGCCATGTTAAAATTCATAAGAACATCTTTTGCTTTGACAAGGAAATGCGCAAGTAAGTACTTGTTGCTTGTGATTCGATCAACCAAAATCGTCTAGTGAAACAATTTAAAACAATTTAAACAATTTAAATTCTGTGAATTTTAATAGAAAGAAAAAATAATCATATAAAGCTGCTCATAATAATAATTAACGGCTATGCTCCATTTAGCAAGAAATCATGCTCGAGGCTAAATGTTATAATAATAATTATTATTAAATGACAGGCTTAATGATATTTATCGTTAACCCTTAAACTTTGACTTCAGCTTTCCAAACGAGTGGGGAACGAATGTAGTAATTAATTAATAGCAGTACATTGGTTGTCTTCTGGCTTCCCAGTATCTCTGGCTTTCCGTCGTTGTCTTTAGAGCTGGACACCGAATCAGGTGGGTCTTCTCTATGTCCTCCTGTAGGTTACATGGAGGGGGGCCATGTGGACTGAGTGTATACTCCTAATCTGTGAAGGTGTTTTGCCAGGTAATCGTGTCCGGTACGTAATCTAGCCTCAGCAACGGCTTCGATTCCAGGCCAATCAGCTATGTTGGAGAGTGCCACTGTCCATTGTTTCTCCTTTGTTTGGGCTTCAAGTTTTTGACACCTTGAGAACTTGATTTCTGTCCTGTATAAGGTCCTCATTGTGTGGATGGACATCGATCGGTCAATGCCTTGCAAAATCGTCGTCCTCTTCTTAGCAAGTGCGTCAGCAAGCTCTTTTTTTAATGCCACCGTAATCAGGAATCCACTGTAGAACCATAGCTGTGTTTTTTTCTCAGCAGCCAATAAGGTTTTTTAACATTCGCCTATATCGGCTGTTTTGTGTGGTTTTCTGTTTCCGATTGAGTTTATTTCTGACTGTGAGTCCAAATGAATTACTGCCTTGGTGAATTTTAAATCCAGGCAACATTATTGGGTTAAGGCATCTTAATGGCCTCTATTTCCCCTTTGAAAGCGGGTCTTTTGTGACCCGCTGCTGCGTACAAAGAGAAGAGTTTAAAGTAAACAACTGTACATACGTTTGCTTGGTTTTCCATATATGACCTATCGGTGAAGACTTTGAGCCATTGATCTGCAGGATAGTTGGCATCAATTTGATAAAAAAGTTATGGAATTTACTTAATACACCATTGAGTTGAGTGATATTGAAAACTTTTGCAAAAGCTAGAAAAAAGTAACTTCACTGGGCTGTGACAGAGATGATTGAGAAATTGTTTGATTCACAAAGAAGTTACTAACGATTCCATGCTCCAAGATGGTCGAACATATGTGGCAAAGATGTAAAGGAGTTGGGGTAGTGAGTGGCAAGTAAGATGTGAGACGAAAAGGTAGATTAATGTAAATTTGAATGTATAACAAGACAGTTTCAATGTTGCAAAATAATATGCACAAAATGAATTGAGAATTTTTTTGGATTAGAATGAAATCAAAGGGGAGCACTTGATTGATGATAGGTTGTGCATAAAATACATAGTTGAT